CCCCTTGGGCAGCAGGCGGGAGCCCTGGCCCTGCCTGCAGTGCCCACAGCAGGGCAGGGGGCAGCTCCCGGGGCACCCTCCAGCACAGCTGCAGCACTGCCCAACCGGCGCAGTTTGTGCCTTCGTGGGGGCCCATTGACTGTTGGGCCCCGGGGCCCGGAATCGCTGCCAGTGGGGCTGGGGCAGGATTCTGCGGGCGCTGAGCACGTCCTGAGGGATGCTGAGTTCCCGCAGTTCAACGGGAGTCGAGGTTGGTCCCCGGCCCCCTGAGCCCTGTGAGGACAACACAGGAGAGTGAGGGGGATTCGAGAGCAGCCTTCAGCTCCCTGAGGGGGGTTCCAACGAGGCTGGCGAGAGGCTGTTCTCAGTGGGGGCAGAACGAGGAGAAACGGTCTCAAGTAGCAGTGGGGGGGGCTCAGTTGGACATTAGGACGAACGATTTCCCTAGGCGGGCGGGGAAGCGCTGGGCTGGGTTCCCTGGGGGGGGTGGAGTCTCCATCCCTAAGGGTACATCTACACTGGTGCAATGAGGAGGAACAGTTAATCAAGGGAAGGGTTTCCGATCGAACTACCTCGTCTGCACACGGCCAGTCAAATCGGGCCACCGGCGTTTCAAAATGGCGACCGGCCGCGAATATGCTAATGAAGCATGGGATATTTAAATCCCGCGCTTCATTAGCAACTTCGGTATGCTTCATTTGCCTCCCTACTCCGAAGCAGGGGGCAAGTGTAGACGTACCCTAAAGGTTTTTAAGTCCAACTTGACAAAGCCCTGGCTGGGAGGATTGAGTTGGGTTGGTGCCGCTTTGGGCAGGGGGCTGGACTCGGTGACTCCCGAGGTCTCTTCCAACTCTTTTATTCTACGACAAACGTTGCTGGGTCCTGCAGGTGCCAGCTCCCACCAGCCACGGCAGCTCAAGAGCCACTGCAGGCACTGCTGGGCAGCTCTTGGGAGGATCATTTATCCGGTGGCTGGGGGCTTTGGGACGGAGTCGGAGTGAGGGTAGAAGAAGCGATCGGCTGTGACCCCGACTGCTCTCCAAGTGTGCGGGGGCCGGGATCTCCCTGCCGCAGCCCTTGGATGGGAACAAATCGCTGGGTTTGCAGGGAGGCTCCAGGAGAGAGGAGGGACCCTCACTGGCCCCAGCACGCAGCCTCCTGCTGCTAGTGCCCCCTGAGCCTGGGAAGGGGCCTTGTGAAGAGGCGCTGCCCTCTATGGCCCTGGGGAGCAGGGAACAAGTGCAGCAATGGAAGCCCCAGCCAGGCCCGTGTGACAGACCGGGCCGGGTCTGGGCACAGCTGAGGGCGTCCGCTCAGGGCAAATTGCTCAAACTCAGGGCTCCTTAGAACCCCTGACTGGAGGCCCCTCCCAAATAGGCCACAAACCAGTTGCACCAAGCGCTTCACCTGCCCATCTGGCCAGCCAGAAGCCTCACGAGCAAAACCCCTCGGACACCCGAGTCCTTCCTATGCCCCAGTCAGTCCCAGGCCTGCACACAGGTGAGGGGTTCTCTCACCTTCCCTGAACGGGCTCTTCCGGTCCCAAGAAACCAGCCACAGTTCCCAGGTCGATTTACACGTTGGATCTTACCCACAAGATCATGCTGAGCCGGTCCTTTAGAATCTAACATTGAAAGGTTTATTACTACAAGAAAGAAAAGCATGAGAGTAAGGTTGTTAAAGAATCGTACGTTACATACAACGACTCATCCAGTTCTCGATACAGGCTCATAGCAGAGATGTTATAACTGCTGGCTTTGGTGTAGATCCGATGTCAGGATGGGTTCACAGTTCTTTCCGGCTCGTGGTTCCCTGCAAGGCTGCTTCTGAGATCAAAAATTGATCTGAAGACAAAGATGGAAGGTGCCACATGGCACTTATATCCCTCTACTGGCATCTTCTTGGCTGCAGCAGGTCACCTGGTCAGTGGCCCATCCCCATGTTCCATGCTGGTAACCCTTAGGTATCAGTCACATTCCTGAGATGTGTATTGGCACCCAGGGCCGGACAGAGTCATGGGCGAGCCAGGCAGCTGCTCAGGGCGCCAACCGACGGGGGGTGCCTGATGGCAGCTGTAAGGGATGCGCTGTGTCCCTTATAGCTGCCATCAGGACCCATGCGCCCGGCTCCCGCAGCACCAGCCCTGTGGCGCCAGCAGCATCCTTGCCCCGACGGCTGTGGGGCCTTGCATGGCCCGGTGCTTGCGTCCTGCACGCGGGGGCAGAGCCGCAGGCCTGGGCCCAGGGCACCAAAAGGGCTCGGGCC